AACTTATCTTATTTCACATACTAAAGTGGCGAGTAGAACAAGTAGACGTGAGTGTTTCAGGCTTCCTTGCCCCACTTGCAGCTGCATAGTTCCTCAAACAGTCTGAACCTCAGAGATGAGAATCCGAATGCTGTCTTGCAAAGACGTACTCATTACTACCCAAAATGCCATTGTCCTCACCCCTTTGCTTGGAAATCAAGTGATTTTGTCATTTCGCTGGTAAGCAGCACAGGTACTTTACGGCCTCTCTTCCTCATGGTAAACTCATGACCCAAATCTTGTTCCAGTTTTGAAAGGCACTGCATAATGTCCTCATTTGGTTCTTCTTTGGTTCTATTCCTATAGGTCAAAAGAGGCAATTTTGCTGCCTCGCCTTGCCGTCTTCGTTTGAAAAGTAAGATTTGTGAGAGACGGCACTCACTGAGAATCTTGTATGCTTTAGGATTAGGCACTTCCATGAGTTTCACCTTTGGCTCCTCTGCTGTGGACTTCAATACTTGATGCAGCTTCATAACATCTTCTGTGAGTGGGATCATTTCTTTTTTGTTCCATCTGTCCTCTTCTAAGTTTGTTCGTGCACAACGTGACACAAAGAGGTCCCACTCTGCTGCCACTAAGTCCAAGAAGCTCTTTACTCTGCCTGCAGCTGCATCATTTTCAGCCTTTATATGATCCCCAATCACAATGATCCCCAATCACAATGTCACATGCTGCCTTCAGCGAGTGTCCTAACTTCAAACCAAGAGATGGTGCGTCATACCTGTACTTGGAGCTGATGAACCCAGAGGCTTGTTTTGCTGCTTCCACGGCTAAAGAAAATTTAGGTGGCACCAAAACATCTTGCAGCATTTTAACTTCATGGCCAAGGGACTTGGTAGCAAGTAAAAATCTACCCAACTCTCATCTTTTGACTGACATGACCATCTTTTGATCGACCATTCCCGTGTTTCTCCAACAGTATATCTCCAAATACACATATGAGAGGGTCATGTCTTAATTCAAGGGACACCTTGTCAATTAACATTCTCTTAACAATGTTTGAGCATCTTTCTGATGGCTGTCCTTTGTATGGAAGGAGAGCTGAGGCAGCAGCTGGAACTCTTCTTTTTTTCTGGGATTTAACTTCTGACTCGAACATTGTTCTGTGACACCATTTCTCATGTTTCCATAGTTCATCTTTTAGGAAGAACCCACAGCAAATGTTGCATGGAAAATAATCTTCTGCATTTGCATGTTTTGATGGCTGTCTATAGGTTACTATCTCGCCCTCACCCTTCTGCAACACAACGAAGTTGCTCAAATGTTTC